CCTTGACGATACGAAGGGTGTTGGTGTTGCCCATGCCGCCCTTCCAGCCCTGGACAACGACCAGAGTGTCACCCTTGCTAACAACGTTGAGCTCCAAAGCGTGCTCAACACCCCACTTGATGCGGCGATCGACATCCTCTTGCCAGTTAACCTTGCTGAAGTCGGGCTTGGCCTCGGGGAACAGGAAGGGGTAGACACCACGGTACAAGTGAGCGTAGCGGGATGCGGAGGCGTTTCTTGTGACCATGAAGATGGGGCAGACGGGGCGGTACTTGGACAGAAGGCGGGCAGACTCTCCAGATGTGGAGAGAACGATGATGCCGCCAGCGTTCAGGTCGAGGGAAGCTCTGACAGCGGCCATGGCGCATGACTCGACAACGCTGACGGGGCGCTTGACCAGGGTGCACATCTCCTCGAAGTGGGAAACGTAGGGGATGGTGTTCTCGGCCTTGAGGCAGGCCTCGTGCATCTCGGAAACGGCCTCGTTGGGGTAGCTGCCCTTGGCGGTCTCGCCGGACAACATGACACAGTCGGCACCGTCGGTGATAGCGTTACCAACGTCACTGATCTCGGCACGGGTAGGGCGGGGGTTCTTGATCATGGACTCGAGCATCTGGGTAGCGCAGATGACGGGCTTGCCGGCTCTGTTGCAGAGGGCGATCATCTTCTTCTGGGCAGCGAAGACCTCGGCGGCGGGAATCTCGATACCGAGATCACCACGGGCGACCATGACACCGTCAGTCTCGGTGAGGATCTCCTCGAAGTTGTTGAGGCCTTGACGGTTCTCAATCTTGGCGATAATCTGGATGTGCTTGCCCTCGGGGCCGAGAACATCGCGGATGTCCTTGATGTCTTGGCCGCGGCGAATGAAGGAGGCAAAGACCATGTCGACATTGTTCTTGACGCCGAATCTGAGATCGTTCTTGTCCTTCTCGGAAAGGGCGGGAAGATCGACATCGGTGTTGGGCAGGTTAACACCCTTCTTGGAGGAAATGAAGCCGTTGTTGCGTGCGCGGACCTCGACGGTCTTGTCATCCTTGACGCTGAGGACATCGAAGGCGAGGACACCGTCGTCGACGTAGATGATACGGCCGGGCTCAATGACCTTGGTGATGTTCTTGTAGTCGACGTACCTATCAAAACAGCGGTTAGTAATGCCGCGGGGAGAGCTTTTGAGAGAGAGAAGAGCTTACATGTTGTCGGTGTCGCAAGCCGTGGCGTATTGCTCATCGGTGGTGAAGTTCAGGATCTTGCCGGCGGAGATGGGGAGATCCTCATCGTTCTTTGTGTTTCCGGTGCGGATCTCGGGGCCCTTGGTGTCGAGGGCAATGGCGATCTGACGGCCGGGCTGAGCCTTCTCGGCGGCGCGGGCATTGTCAATGACGGACTGGTGGTACTCGTAGCTGCCGTGCTGTTCAGAAGCGAGGGGTTAGCAAGATAGGCAGACTTTGGTGGGGGTTGACTTTTAGCGTCTGTGATGGGGTTGGGGGAGCTTACGGAGAAGTTCATGCGAACAACGTTCAGACCGGCCTTGCGCAGAGCGTTGATGGCCTCGACGGAGTTGGTCTTGGGGCCAATGGTGCAGATGATGGAAGAACGGCGGTAGTTCTTCTCGGGCTGGTAGGCGGTATCGAGGCTGGAGAGCCATGCGATCTTGCCGCCGACATCGAGATGGTCCTTGGCGGTAGCAGCCATTGTGTCTAGATGTATAGGTATGGGTTTGGACGGGTGATGAGGGGAGTTGATAGAAAAAGTCGATCACCGTAGGATGGAGAATAGATGTAGCAGAGGAGAAGTGTGCTACTTAAGGATGGTCGAGGCGAAAGGGAGGAGTGTGGAAGAAGAGGAGGAGGGGTCTAATGCGGTTGTTAAATCCTGCTGGGAGTGGGGGTGGGTAGAGAGAAGACACAGAGAGGGAGAGGTCAAGGCAAGGTCAGGCAAGGTACGTAAGGCCAAGGGGAGAGATAACTAATAAAAAAAAACACGATAAAAAAAGGTCATCCAAATCGACGAGGTTGACGAGTGAGACTCTTTGTTTTTGGGGGGTGGTTAAGCCAATGCAGGATGTATGCACAAGATGATGTATTTGAGCATCAGCCTCAGCTAGGTATTTGTTGAAGACCACATTACGGGCAGAGGCAGAGACACACGAGGAGCAGGGACGAGAAACAATTTGCTCCTGACCCAAACAAACCCAAGTGAAGTGTGAAGCTGCCCGGCGGCGCACTCCCCATCCTCTGCTTGCTGCTTCCATTTGCTGTGGCCTGCGTCGGCGGTGGTGTCGGCGCCTTTTTTTTTTCTCCCTCTTTTTTTTTTCTTCCTCAGTCTGCCCGGGTGGCCGCCGCTTTGCCCCTCGTTGAACTTGTTCCCTGCACCGGCCGGCACCACCCCCGTTTGGTGAGGTGAGGGGAGAAAGGTGCTGAGAAGGTGCTGAGGAGCGTAGCTGCCCCTCAATCCAACGGAGTGGTCCGTGCACTTTGGTCCGTGGCCGGATGGCAGGAGGGGAGCACCCAAGCACCCACGCACCTTCCCCCCAATCCCTGCCAGAATTGGAAATGGAAGCAATGGAACTCAAGTGGGCAAAGTGCAGCTTTGGCAGTAGCGACTGGGCCCCCCACCAATGTGAGGAGCTTGCGGTGACAGGTACCCTGCCATAGGTACGCCTACCTTACCTGCCTTACCTAAGCTCAGGCTTCAGGGTCCCGCGCTTCGCACCAGCCTGACACCTCCCACTTTCATCCATCTTTTTTTGCCATCTCATGCCGTCCAATGTTGAGGCACGGCAACCAAGAAAAAAAGAGACGACGGAAGGAAATACAGAAGGGCATGACCAGGACCTTCTCATTGGAGCATTGAATGTGTTCCTGCTTCCTCTCTTGCTCATCTCACCTTTTTTTTTTTTTTTCACCTCACTCTGACATGCTCATCCACCAACTGGAAACGCTTGGCCAATGAAGGAACAAGCCCACGGCCCGAACAAGGTTTACGCAAATAGCACATACCAAAACGGCCCGGGATATGGTGAGGCGCCCCAAGATTGGGTGTTGCGAGGTGAGGTGAGCCTGGTGAGGTGAGGTCCGGACGTCAGGCCAGCCCAGAAAAACAGCGTGGTTTCACCAGACGGTAAACAAGAAAATAAATAGATGCCAACTGGAAACCACAACAGAAACATCCAAGGGGCCATCAACGCAACGCAATGCAATGATACGACGGCAATGATCCACTCACCGAGTATCCGTACCGTGTATCCGTACGTCGTGCTATTTATTCTCCAACGCTCGAGCCTATCGAGCTGGGCAGTACTCCGTAGACGTATTGAGAGTAATAGCAACAGCAATGACGCCGTGAATAGTAGGAAGAGTAAGTGAGAGCGCAAGAGGACCGAATGATGGGAGGGCCTGCCTGGAGTGATGGCCGGATAAAATGGGTGACAGTGAGGGATTTCAGTCGCTTCCATTGGATCCAGCACCATCCAACTGTCTAGCTCCAACTTCGGGTATTTTCTCGTTTTATTTTGCTTCACCATCTCCCACTACTTCGTGCCCATCATGCACTTGCATCCATCTGACAGTCTGTTGCACACTGGTGCAGCTTCCATTCTGCGACGGAGCTCCGACCAAGCTCCCTTGGGCTGAGTCGAGTCTGAGGCGAGTTGAGCTGCCCGATTTTTTTAAAGCCTCAAACACTCAACAAACTAGAAGCTCATGCCGCGGCGGGCGGCGGCGGCGGTAGCAGACCACACATTTCCTTTGCCTCTTTTAGTTTTGGCTCCGGGTCTGAGCTTCCACCTCTGGTTCTAACTTCCTTTGCCAAACGGCAAACCAGCCCGGACGCCCGACCCCTCGAGAAAATGGAAAATGGAACGCATCCATGTCACCTAGAAAAACGGCAAAGAGCCCCTCCGTGGAAATATGCCCCTCCATCCTGGGAGACTGCAATGAATGGAAAGGCCGCTGGGTCTCTCTCCAGTCTCCAGTCTCCAGGCCAGAGTATCGGAGTGGAGAGGTCCCCTGGCCCACTTGCACCTTGGCAATGCCTCGCACCTCTCATGAAAATGGCAAATGGCGACAATGCATTTGTCCATGACTCTGTCAGCTCCGGGCAGCTCCAACCTCTCAACACCCGCATCCGGCCAATGACCATCTCACCATCTCAAGGACAGGTGGGCCACCGCCGGTGCACCGTCGGACAATTCCACTTGTGCCGCGGAGGAGAACAAGTCCAGGCCCCCATCCGAGCTCCGGCTAATCCGCTTTGTTGGTGACGCGATTCAAACCGTCTCGATGGTTCGGGTCCGAGTCGCGCTTCTTGCTTCTATTTCCCTCATTACATTGCAGGGGTTGTGCTACAAGACTGACACCCGCAAACCGATGTTGCCATGAAGAGCTCCATCCGAGAGATGAAATGAAGCACTCAAAACCCCCAGGTAGGGTACCTTGGGCATGAGACTTGGGGTACATCGAAGACGGTAAGACAGATAATGGTCGGCAAGCCATAAAAGCGATGCTGCTCCACTTGAAGCCACGCGAGGATGAGCTTAATCGACCTTGCACTTGCAAGACTTTGATTCCCACTGAAGATACGACACCCGACGATGCTCCTGAGGGAAACCTCAGTCCATCAACCGAAGGTAACGTACCTTAGATAAGATAAGACATGCACCTAGGCACCTTATCATATCAAGATAAGAGATTAGAAGCCTCAGGCACTAAGGCTACTTTTGAGGTGTGCACAGTCCACTTCGACAGCACAGCCAGTCAGCTGGGGGAGGGATCATACTCCAATTGCTCCAGTGTGCCTGCCACCGCCAGGCGAGCCTTGTCTCATGACCAACAACCTTCGAACTCCAGCCTTTTGACTTTTGAGAGAACGCTGCAACAACCACGAGACAACGACGGCAACGATAACAAGAAACACTCGAACAGAGCAACGTCATCGAGCGTAGAAAAAGCGACAAAGGAAATCGAATTAGACAGACCTTTTCAACAACTTGCACCAAAATGGTTGGTCCAGCCTTTTCCCCTGCCGGGCTGCTGGCGAGTGCTTCTGGCTCGCCTCGCTGCCTACATTAGCTTGGAGATTTGCTCGCGCAGTCTTAACACCTCCCTAGCTCCTCAACTTGCTGACTCTGGGCCTCTGGTCAAAGATTGGACGTTTGACTCATTACGCATTCGATGCGGTGCTCTGTAAGTCCCCTCCCCAGCCACTCTTCTTTGGTTGTCCTACTGTTGGATGCATAATCTCGAGTCGATCGGTTCGCTAATTCTTGGGTCGTTCCTAGTCTCCGCCTTCCTCGCGGGTATGCAGCGCTCGACCGGCCTGACGTGAGTTAACTTTCTCAATATTCCGATGCGAATACTGGATCTCTGCCCTCGATGACGACAAAGACAAGACTCTGCGGCGGCTAACATGTGCCCAATCTGGGAATCGTCAGACCCAGTTTCAAGACGGACAGAGCTGCCGGCGAAAACAAGGACATGACGAAGTGGATCGAGAAGTATCTCGGTGTCGGCGAGTGGGTGATGGATCAGTCGGTCGCAATTGCCGGCTCCAGCGGTTGGTTCGAACGCAGGCGATAAATCGAGACATCAAGATCGAGACAACACCAGTATATCCGTTTTCCAACGAATCCCGGCCGCCGTTCTCAATGACGATCTGGAGTCGAATCTCCCCTTGTTCATTCATCTACAACCTTATTCATTAGGCCATTTGTTGCCGCAGTACGATGCTGGAAACGCTCTGCGACTGCTCGGAAGAAATCGGTATGGGGAGGTTCGGTTCCTGGGCGGTGTAAATCCAAGGGTATCGGCGGATCTTGAACCGGGTGTTCTCGTGGGCTGAAATCGCTGATTATCGGAATCTCGAAAAAGCAGACTCGCGTCTCTGCGTGCAGGCGTTATGGGCGAGATCGGGGCGCACTTTCTTTAACTGTACCTTGGGGAACAGGAAACCGAGCCTTCACCGGCGAACTCTTGGTTTTATCATTGCGAAAAGTCCCCCTTTGGGCACCGGGCTACCCCGTGTAAATCCTTACCACCGGACCTGTGGACCCCACTTTCGGGATTGTCCTCGTCGCGGGACAGCGGCCATAGCCGAGGTTACCGTCCAAATCCAATGCGCCACAGTCTGCCACTGCAGCTCCTTTCATGCGCCATTGCTCCCTTGCTTGACGAATCCTAGCCCTATGATGTGAGACTATGAATGCAGGTGGCATTATGGAGAGAGACAAAAAAGTCAATTCGTGGATGGCTATAAACAAACTGCTCCATAAGAAGTTCCAACTAATTAACACCCCAGCCAACGCCGGCTTGAATCATGGCCTGCGGGGTATCCTATCCTGCCTGCTGTACCCAGCTTTGCCAGCCCAATCAAAAAACATAATTCATTTCCAAAAAGTGTAAGAACTACGTGTCAAAAGATGCATGCTTCAGTACCATCTGCTTTGGTAGCACGGGAAGCTACTGAGGCACAGCTGACATCGGGGTTATACCCTTTACAAATGCTACGCATACAAAGTCATGGCACCTTCATATCAGTCTATACCCTCATCGTTGCTGTGTTCGGCAAGGAACTCTGGAGGAACCTCATTGTCGCTGTCACGCCTCGAAGACGAAGTTCGTATGGACCCGACATGGGAACGGTCGTCGTCGTGCTCTTCTAGATGTGACACTAGCAGGTCGGGCGGGACCTCATTGTCACTCTCTCCGTGATGGGTTTCTGTCGTAGCTGTGGCCAAATTCGCTTGCGAGATTTGCTCCTCTTGGTCATCGCCGTTGTGCCAGGGTTCTTCGATGTCGTCAACTTTCGTCGCCGCTGCTTGAGGCTTTGGTAGACTTCCTCGAAGGAGAGCCTCGGCATCTCTGAACGCTTCGAGTTCAGCGCCAACGGCGCAGATGAGAAGATTCCAAGTGTTCTGCTGGGCTGTCCTCATGTTTGCTTCAAGCTCCAAGATCACCTTTGCCATCCGCGGCAAGAGAGCTTCAACGCCTTCTTGCTGTGCACGAGGAGTCTGTTTGCCCTTGGCCGAGGAAGTACCGCCGCTTAGAGACTGGCGCAGGTCTGCCTCGAATGTCGTAACGAGTTTCACCGTTTCCTGCCATAACTCCGTGCCTTGATCTAGCGCATCGCGATCCTTATCGACCTGCGCCTTTCGCTTCTGGAGAAAGTCCATTTCACTTTCCCACCAGTCCTTGGCCATGCTCAGTGTCCGTCGCGCAGGTATCATGCGGAAGAACTCAGCACCACCGGGCAGCTCTTGGATGTCGGTTCCGGTTCCAGAGTCGTTCCGTGATACAGCTTCGACAACATCTAGATCCAGGGGCTCGATCGGAGGCCGGCGTAGGAGGGCTGTGACCTCACCTTCGACCTCCCTCAACGCACCCCTGTAGCCACTCAAGCCCGCCTCTCGGCGGTTGTGAACGTCTTCCATCTTTCGCTCCAGCCATCGATGCCGATTCCTCATACCAACGAGCTTCTCCTCGAGCTCGCGTATCTCCTGACCCAAAGAATCATGCTGCTCTCCCAGGCCTCGCAGCTCCTTTGCGAGAGGCTCCTCATCGTCATCAGCCAAGCTATGCAACTCGGCAGAGATGCTGACCCTGCGCTTGTCCAACTTGTCTAGATACGACAAAGCTTTTCTTCGTTGAGAGAGGGCTGACTCGATATACGCATTTTCTTCCGTCTTGAGACCAGTCAGGGCTGCCAACGCCTGTCGCAATCCGCTTCGCGCCGCACGAAGGCCCTGCTGCCCCTGTGCCTTGGGTTGTCGAACAGGTATAATATCGCCGCGAGGAGTCGCGCGTACGGGTGGGTCTAGCGAGGCCATCATGCGTGACCTGGACGTCGCTGTGGAATAGAACGTTCCCGTTGGCGTACTACTCCCAGAATCACTCCACGTCTCAGCTCCTACAGTGCTAGCATCGAGAGACTCGGCGCCGGATCCAAGTCTTGTGGCTTGTATGTCTAGTAATCGCTGTACCTCTTTGTGGAGAGCTCGTTCTCGGTGTTGTAGATTCCGCCAGACAGAGTCAACGCGGGACTTGCTTGAGTCGCGCGAGCTATGATCGAACAGAATGCTCCCAAACGCAAGCCGGCTGGACGACATGCCCTTGAGCTCGTTCTTGTGTGTGTTGCCTCGGGATTCCCGCCTCTCCGACGATGCGGAGGGCTGCAACACCACCGAGGCAGCTATGGGCGGCGGCGGGCCGACGAACATGGCCTTCGGCTTCAACTTGGAGACGGAGCCCGCCGGGCCAAAAGGGTCGTCGTCCCATGGATCTACGGGGGAAGGGGAGCGCCCTTTCGACATTTTGATGGGCAGCGGAGGCGGATCTGACAGCAGCGATACATCGGGTCTAGGGGACAGATCATCGAGGTCGTAGTCATCTGAAGGCTTCGGTCGGGATGTGTAGAGTGGTAGAATGGGAGATCGTTGTCGGCTCGGTGAGAGTCGGTCGAGGAAACTGTGCGAACCGGATGCCATCAGGTCGCATCTGACGCTGCTGGGCAGAAGTGGGAGAATTGGCTGGCGATGGCGCGGTCAGCAGGAATGTCGTGGTTGACAAGGTTCCTGAGCGTGCTTTCCAGAGGCACGATCAAGTATGTATGCGCTCTAGCTAAAGGAATAGGATGTCAACAACAACAAGGAGGCATTGGTGATGAGTGTTGGACGTGGGATACGGCAAGATGCTATGGGTAATGTATGAGGTCTATGGGACACAGCACAGCAATGTCGTCGATGGGAGCGCGCGAGGCCAGCTGTGAAGATACAAGATAAAAAGTATCTTTGGCTCGGGAAGCAAGAGCTCACGAGCTCTGAGCATGTGCCACAGGCGCTGTTGCGAGACAGACGTCACACGGCGGGTCTTTCTCTGTAGCACCAGGCACCTATCTTAGTACCTAGGTACCTACCTAAAAGCCGATTGCCTGCCTTATGTAAGCACGGCCTCGACATCTTGGTTATCGATAAGCATGTATGTGGGAATGCGCCATTGGACGATGCCATTGCTGTTGGATGTTGGAACATGATCCTTTCAACATTGCCTATTATCCATACAGCTCACCAAACAAACGGAGAACGGGAAGTATGAGGCCCAGTCAGTGCGGTGGAGAAAAGATTCTTGCTCATCTAATCTGTCTGCGTCTTCTGCCAACCGAGACTGAGATACACTGTGATGCGTAGAGCTTCTCTCTGGAGCTGGTGTCCATGTGCTTGATCAAGAAATTGAGCACCGTCTGGCTCCCCAGAACACGGTATTTTGCGCGTCTCATAGTCTTGCCATTGTTGGGTGTCTTTTCATATCTATTGTGCAAGCGATGGCCACGGCGACGGGCAATTTCTTATGATGGACACTTTCTCCTCAAAGTTTCAATCAACTAATGAGATGAGCCGCCTGCCTTGGCTCTATTTTCCTTACTGCCATCATCCCCGGCGGCGTCTGTAACCGCGTCTCCGTGTCTCCGTTGTCCGTCTATGCCCAACGCCCAGGTCCATGTCCATGTCCAATTCAGTCGGTAGGGCCCATCAATAATGAACGAGTCGGACATTCATTAGTCAGAGGGATGCCGCCGTAAACTCGCGTGAGTTTTCTGCCGGGTCTACAAAGTAAAGGATGTGTTGCTAGACGGATGAGAAGCTGAGCATACAGCCGTTGGACAAGTTCACTTCTCACTCTCACCAAGTCATCAGATCAGACAACCTGGAAGACTAAGACTGCGGATGCCGAGGACGTGGACACGCCGCACTGCCACCGTCTGCCCCTGTCCTGCTGCCGTGTGCGTCGCTTTCTCTTCCCCCTCGTCCCTTGTGTGTCTAGTTCCCTGATCGTCGTTGTCGTTGTGGCCATTCTTGTTCATCTTTTTTGTGTTGCTTTGTTTTTTTGGGGGTTCTCGTTCGTCCCGCGTCCCATCCACCCCACGCGCGCACATTGTTTGAGTCGTACAACGAGGGACATTCAACCGAAGAAAACATGATGCACTTTCTGGGCCATCGTCGAACAGCCTCGCAGCAGAGCATCGACCCCGAGACACAACAGCAGCCACAGCAACAATGGCGTCCGCACCACCAGCATCGCCTAAGCGCGTCTTCGGCTCTTTGGCAAGCGGCCCAGGCCTTGGGGTCCATTGGAGCCCCGGCCGCTGCCGCTGCCGCCGCCACCACTTCCCCTCCAGGTTCCGGCGGACCTCCTTCTTCTTCTACCTTTGAGTCTGGACTCTCTGGAGGAAATGCTTCGTCAGCGTCAGCGGCAGCGGCAGCTTCAGCCTCCCATGCGACTGCCAATGCCAATGTCAATTTGAATGACCCTCCAACTGCAGGTACAACCGCAGGTACAGGTAGTAGTAGCAGTGGTACCACGGCTGGCCACACCCGCCCACCGCTGCCCAACCCGGTACCTTCCTACTCGTCGTCGGTGTACTCCCAGCAGTCGCAACAATCGCAATATTCGCCGTATTCTCAGCAACAACTGCAACACCAGCAGCAGCAGCAACAACGACAGTCTGGCTACTTCCAGCCCAACCACCACTCGCATCCTTCAGGCGGTCCTCCTCACGCCGGGCTCGGCATCGGGCTCGCTTCTCCCTCCACTACTTCCTCCCTTCAATACACCCCGGAAGCCTTGAAGCCATCCTCAACCTCGACACCACCGGCCTCAACGTCCGCATCCACAACAACAGCAGTCGCCGCTGGTGCGCCTGGGCCATTAGTGCCCAAAGACCCCCCCGCCGTCCCCAACTTCCACTGGGACAACGACTATTACCAGAACACGCCGAACAATAGGAACAAGACCATTAGCGACACCACCACCAACAGCGCCGCGGCCACTCGTACGCCCACAACAGCGACCGACTCCGCTTCCGCCCGCGCCCTCCAGCCTCATCAGTCCTCCCATTCACGCTCTCAGTCTCATTCTCATTCTTACTCTCACTTTCAATCTCAATCTCACTCTCACTCCCATTCGTATTCCCACTCCTACTCCCAGTCCAACCCCTACTCTCCCTCTTCTTCCTCTCACCCGCCTTCCTCTTCCTCCAATATCCCTCCTTTCTCCCATTCCCGCTCCCAGTCCCACTCCCAGCACAACCAGCAGCGTGCCTCCATCCCCGCCGCTCTGCTTCCGGCCCATGGCCAGCAGCTGCACCGAGACTCTCCCAACTCGCTGCCTACCCACTCCACTGCGACTCAGACATCAGGGCCGCCGGGCCTTTCCCCCTCCGTCACACTGCTGCCCGCGCCAACGCCCTCCTCATCCTCCTCGCCATCTTCTTCCTCTGCTCTCGCAGCCATGAACCAGCAACAGCAACAGCAGCAGCAGCAGCAGTCGCCGCAGCAGTCGCAACCCCAGTTCCAAACTGGCACCCCGCGACGCACTGGCACCTATAGCTCCCAGTCAGACGAATTGCACATGCCAGCGGGCATGATCCAGCACGGCCAGCCTTCACCCCGCGAATACTCATCATCCTCTGCTGCCCCCGCCGCACCCCATATCAAGCTGGAGCAGTCCTCCCCAAACTCCCACCCCCAGGCGCCGCCTTACCAGAGCACATCGTCGGTGCCCAACGTCTTGCAACCAGGTGGTGCAGGTGGTCGACCTCCCGCCATCTCTGCCAACACCGCTCCCAGTATGTCTGCCATGCAGCCTCAGCAGCAGCAGCAAGACTATCAGACACCTTCCAAGCCTCCCAGCTTGAGCCTGTCCCACAGCTACTCGCGCTCCTCGCCTGCTGCCGGATACGAAGGTGGCTCGTCCTTTGCGCCCTACACACCCACTACACCCAGCGGCTCTGGATCCCAGTTCATGTCTCCGCCAGACCAAAAGTACAATGCGCCCGGCTCCCAGCGAAACATCTCGAACACGCCCTTGGGCTTGGCCGATATTCGACCCCGCGCCGACTCGAGCATGTCCGATGGCGTGCCCGGTAGCGCTGCATATGAGCTTGCCAACGCGCAACCTGGAACCAGCAACTATCTCGCTCCTTGGGCCCTGTATGCTTTCGACTGGTGCAAGTGGCCTCCCCAGGGCAACGGCGCTGGGAAGCTTGCCGTTGGCAGCTATCTAGAAGATGGACACAACTACGTAAGAATTCCGTCGCAATGATGTTGATAGCTGGGTGTAGCTAACACTATTGCTTCCCTCTAGATCCAAATCCTCGATACCCAAATGGTCCCGACGCCCAACGATGTCTACCAGCCGGGCACCCCCAAAATTAACCTCGAATTTCAAAAAGTCGCCGAGGCTACACATTCCTACCCTGTGACGCGCTTGCTCTGGGAACCGCCCTCCTCGCAGAAGCAGTCTACTGACCTGCTCGCGACGTCGGGAGACCACCTTCGCCTGTGGTCTCTTCCCTCCGAAAGCCCTGTCTCCCAGAACAACTCCATTACCAACCGAGCCAGAGACCCCGCCGTTACGAAACTCACGCCTCTCGCGCTTCTGTCCAACTCCAAGACCCCGGATCATACTGCACCGCTTACTTCGCTAGACTGGAATACTGTTTCACCTAGCTTGATAATCACGTCCAGTATCGATACCACCTGCACGATTTGGGATATTCCGTCGCTGACGGCCAAGACACAATTGATTGCCCACGATAAGGAGGTTTACGATGTCCGCTTCTGCGCCAACAGTGTTGACGTATTCGTGAGCTGCGGACAGGACGGTAGCGTCCGCATGTTCGATTTGCGCAGTCTGGAGCATAGCACCATCATCTACGAGCCCACTGGGAAAGATGAACGAGGTAACCTCCACCCCCAGAACTATTTTTTCGCAAGTTTGGTGAAGCTGATTGAGTATGATAGATGCCAATGGAGGACGTATCAGCCCTACGCTCGCGCAGCAGACCATGTCGAACCCTCCGCCCTTGTTGAGACTAGCAACTTCTCCCCACGATACCCATTTGCTAGCCACATTTGCGCAAGACTCGAACGTCATTCGTATCCTTGATGTAAGACATCCTGGACAGGCTCTTCTCGAACTCAGGGGCCACGGAGGCTCCCTGAACTCCATAGAGTGGTCGCCTACGAGGCGTGGTGTTCTAGCTTCGGGAGCCGACGATTGCCAGGTGCTGCTATGGGACGTGTACAACAACAACCCTGCTCTTGGCGGTGGTCCTCCCGCCAACGGTGCCGCCCAGCCAGACAACATGAGAAGCCCGTACGCTAGCTGGCAATGCGACTACGAAGTCGGCAACCTTGCTTGGGTGCCTCATCTTTCTAGCGACCAGGGAGAGTGGCTGGGAGTCAGCGCCGGCAGGGGCCTATGGGGTGTCAAGACATGTGGGCGAACCAGCGCCTGAAAGAAACCAAGGGCGACGAGCAGCAACTAATCCGACCGCCTTGCTGCGCTGTTCATAGATCTGGCTGGTCACTCATGATATATGCATCGCAAAGCCTGGCGTTTGGGGATCGGCTCTTGAGCCGGCTGTAGGGTAGGGGATACTGTCTGTGAAGTATGTTTCAAATGAATTCACTTGGAATAGGCAGTCATTGGGGGTGAATTGGTTTCAATGCACCACAGGACTCAGTCAGTATGGCCCCCCTCTGGTCGATGGTCAGGAACAAAAGTTTGGGACAGTGGATGGCTATATACCGGCGGGCACAGTCGAACGGGGAAGACGGAAGGAAATGTTATAATAGCGTGCGGTGTTTGTCCCGCACCAATGTGGCCGTTCCCAGTGTCCTCAATACACGTACCTATTTTAGGTAACTTGAAAACACAGCTTTTCGCACAAGGAGTCCATTGCTGTGAATTAGAGCTTTGTCAAAGGCAGACCATCACTGTCATTATCCAAAGTGATGACTGCTTTGCCCCAAATCTTGCGGTTTGACATGTCCTTGAGAGCCCTGGGTACATGTTCAAGACCAGGATACTCAGCGTGATAGATGACAGGCCGGATTTTATCAGTTTCCATCAAGGGTTTCAGCTGGTTCCAGATGGCATTCTCCTCTTCAGGATACCGTCGCAAGCTCTCGCCGTATCGCTTTGGGGCATTAGTTAGCTACCTTAGTTCGAGTGGGTGGTCGTTGTGGAATCTTCAATACTCACATAACCTATCAAACACACCTGCTTGAGTAGGACTCTATTCATGGCGATTTTCTCCATATCGTCCTGGATACCAGCGAACCCTACAATCAGTATCTTGCCTCTGTGAGCAATGCACTTTAAGCTTCGGTCCACGAGGCCGACGGGATCAAAAACTACGTCGACACCCTTCCCGTCAGTCAGCTCCAGCACACGGTCCCACCACGCTGCATCCTCGGAGTAGTTGATGCAAATATCAGCCCCCGAACGTTGGGCCACGTTGCACTTCTCGGATGAGCCCGCCGTCCCTATCACCCGGCATCCCAAGGCCGCAGCAACCTGAAGGGCCATCAGACCGAGCCCACCGGCAGCGGCATGGACCAAGACAGTCTGGCCGGCTCTTATGCCAGCTTGGACGAGCGCTGCGTAGGAGACGGGGAGCGTGGCGGCTAGCCCGGCAGCTTGGACGAATGTCCATTGGGGAGGGATGCGATGGAGGGGCGTCGAGGCGTCGAGGGAGATGATCTCGCTGTAAGAACCTGTGCTGCCTCCGAAGACTCTATCGCCAGGACGGAATTCGGAGGTAGGCGGTGATGAGAGGATGATGCCGGCGAACTCGAGGCCTAGGGTGAAGGGCGGCCGTACCAGGGATCGGTTGTTTTGGTGTCTTCCCCTGGCCTAGGTGCGAAGTATCATATCAGCCAGCCAACTCATCTTTTGGGGGACTTGTGAGAACTTGTCTTGGACTTACATAGAGGGTATCGACATAGTTCACCCCAGCAGCCTTGATTTGGATGAGGTAGCGGTCTGCTGTAGAGATTGGCCGGTCAATGTCGGAGACCTTTATTTCATCAAAGTCCTTGAGGATGAATTAGAGGCATGTTTGTGGAACTGAAGCAAGGTATTAAGAGACTGGGACTCACATTGACGAATTTGTCGATAACAACAGCCTTCATCTTTCGTCTCGAGCTTCCGACCATTTTCAGCTTAAACTTGACTTGATACTGTTTGCTTAAAGAAGATCGAGAGTACCCAGATGCAGGGGCCAGTCCCCAGTCTTTATAAATGGAAGGCGTTCATTCAGGGCTGGTGTTTCTGATGAATTGGAGAAGCACTAGGTGCCGAGGCTTCCATCGGCTCCTATGGATCAAATCGGGCATTTGGAGTGTGCTGTCTTACGCAAAACTTCAATGTAGAAAACTACCCAGGTGCGACAGGCCTGGTGAATCTAAAATTCATGATAGATGTGACGTCCATTCACACTGTCATATCTCAATCAGAATTCATCGTGACCTTGTATTTGCTGCTCTTTCTGTCACTTCTGTCACTTCAGCATCCATCCACGGTTACTTGCTGACCTAGATTGATGATTGAGGTGGATTGGAACCAGAAGCAACTTGTGAGTGGCCTCATCAATGCAGGACATGCATCCTATCAAACGTACTCATATAACTGCCAACACAGCTTCTTCTTCTCCCTCAACTCAGTGGAGCCAGGACAGGATGCAGTGAAGTCAATCGGAGATGGGATGCAGTGGAGGGATGACAGGAGCTGCGAGGAAGGTAGGGGGATCCACTGCAGAGCACCTACGCTACCTGGAGGCTACCACCTATCGATTTGCCTCAGGTGTCAGTCTGGAACGACCACGCTAGTCCCTTTTCAGATAGAGATGTCCTTCGCGTTATTCGCCCGTCTTTAGTCGTTGCCTTTGCTTGTTCTAAGCTTTCTATCCTCCCGTTGCCTTTTCCTCTACCTTTGCCTTCACCTCAATCCCACCCTGAGACCCGACAGCCAAAAGCCTTCGGCCTTTTCCTCCATCTATCCGCTTGATTGATTCGCCGGAGAAAAGGTCGCTGCCTGCCATCAGGCGAACCAGTTGGAAGGACCATTGTTTCCTTCCCTTGGTACGGATACTCTGCTTCTTTTGCAGACTCACCTCGGAAAGGACCTCGCATCAGCGACATCACGGGAAAACTACGAACTCGAAACTCTTGACTCGACGTTTCGTTATTTCCCACCATGTCTTCCAACCGCTACGAGGATTCTGAGGAGGAGGATGACTTCAACCCTGCGCCCGCCGACTTGTCTGACGAGGAACCCGACCAACCAGCCAGCGACAACCATGCTCGAGAAAGCAGCCCTGCTGACGACGCACCTGCTCCCTCTAAATCGAGAGTAATTGACGACGACGACGAAGAAGACGAAGATGATGCGGGCCAACACGACGACGACGATGAAGAAGAGGATGAGGACGACGAGGACGAAGACGATGTTCAACAGGTAAGCCTGTCGCTGCCCGCGCCGAATGCCTTATTACACAAAGCTACGCCGGGAAGGCGCTCGGCAAATCTTTACCTTCACCGCAACCCCTGATATAGCCTCCTCTTTCTCTCGGCGTGAACTTTTCTAATAATTGATCAACAGGGGCATCGTCGCAAGCGCAGAAAGGATCGCCGAGCCGCCTTCTTCGATATCGAGGCCGAAGTCGACGACGAGGAGGACGGTGAGGATGAGGAGAAAGATGGCGAGGAGATTGAAGACTTCATTGACAATGCCCATCCCGACGACATTGCTGAGAGCGGAGGCCTCGATGACGACAGACGTCACAGAGAGTTAGACCGTCGTCGCGAGATGGAGGCGAGTATGGACGCCGAAAAGCAAGCCGAAATCCTTCGACAGCGTTACGGAAACCGCCGGCCGAACAAGGGCTTTGGAGACTCGGCCGTTGTTCCTAAGCGCCTGCTGATGCCTAGTGTCGACGATCCTACCATCTGGGCTGTCAGATGTAAGGAAGGCAAGGAGCGGGAGGTGGTCTTCTCCATCATGAAGCGTATCGAAGAGAGACTTGGGACCAAGGACGAGCTGGCCATTATTTCGGCCTTTGAGCGCGGTGGCCCGACCTCCGTCATGAAAGGCTACATCTATGTTGAAGCCAATCGCTCCACCGACATCATGGTTGCTCTCGACGGCATGTTCAACGTCTACCCGCGATCCAAGATGATTCTCGTCGACATCAAGGATATGCCTGACCTGCTTCGTGTTACCAAGACCCCCACCCTGGAACCCGGCGCATGGGTGAGACTCCGCAAGCCTGCCAAACACGCTGGCGATCTTGCTCAGGTCATCGACGTCACTGAGAACGGCCTCGAGGCCAGAGTTCGGTTCATCCCTCGTCTTGACTACGGAATGAGAGACGATGCGCTGTCGGCGGTGACTGCCGACGGCAAAAGAAAGCGACCCGTCGGCGTAGCGGGCCCGCGCCCACCTCAGCGCCTCTTCAACGAGACCGAAGCTCGCAAGCGGCACCCGAGACATATTCAGGGTAATCCAACTACCAAGGTGTGGAATTACATGGGCGACGAGTTCGAGAACGGCTTCCAAGTCAAGGATATCAAGATCCAGCAACTGGTGGTTACGGACGTCAACCCAACCCTGGAGGAGGTTACCAGGTTTGCCTCCGGTGCTGAGGACGGCACCGAGAACCTCGACTTGAAGGCTTTGGCATCGAGCTTGAAGGACAGCAACATCAATGTAACCTACCTGCCTGGTGACATTATTGAAGTCTACGAGGGCGAGCAGAAGGGCGTGGTTGGAAAGGCCACCAACGTCCAAGGTGACATTGTCACCATGCAAGTCACAGAAGGAGTACTAGCCGGACAGATTATTGAGGTGCCGACCAAGGGCCTGAGAAAGCGTTTCAGGATTGGAGATCACGTCAAGGTTACTAGCGGCAGTAGGTTCCGTGATGAAGTTGGTATGGTCGTCAAGATCTCAGAAGACCGAGTTACTTTCTTGACCGATCAAACCAACACCGAAGTCACCGTCTTCAGCAAAGATTTGCGGGAAGCTAGCGACATTGGAGGACAGGGCTCGCTGGGTCAGTACGAGCTGTTTGACCTCGTCCAGCTAGACCCCACGACAGTTGGCTGTATTGTCAAGGTCGACCGTGAGTCGGTGATGGTTCTCGACCAGAACGGAGACACGCGGCAAGTCATGCCTTCGCAGATCGCCAACAAACTGCCGAAGAGGAAGATCGCCGTAGCCGCCGATAGAAACGGCTCCGAAATCAGACTCGACGACGTGGTCAGGGAGTATGGCGGTCAGCAACGCCAGGGCAAGATTATCCACATCCACCGTGCCTATCTCTTCCTTCACAACACTGACAGTAATGAGAACGCCGGTGTCTTCGTGACCAAGGCTGGAAATGTCAATACAATCGCTGCCAAGGGTGGGCGTGTGCTTTCAGCCGGCCCAAACCTGGATCAGATGAATCCCGCCATGAAGCGCAACCCCAACGGATCTGAGAGCAAGATGGCACCGCCCAAGAGCTTTGGAGGACGTGATCGTGCTATCGACAAGACAGTCATTATCCGAAAGGGCGGTTACAAGGGTCTTCTCGGAATTGTCAAGGATGCGACTGACACACACGCTCGTGTCGAGCTGCACACTAAGAGCAAGACAATCACTGTACCTAAAGATCACTTGAGCTTCAAGGATAGAATCACAGGAGCCAAGATTGAAATCAACGGTCGTGGAGGTCGTGGTGGACACAGTGGCCCTCCGGGTGGTGGCCGTGGAGGACATGGAGGAGACTGGCAAGGAGGCCGAACCCCTGTCGCCTCTGGCGGCCCAGAGAGAACCCCGGCATGGGGCTCAAGGAGTAAGTCAGCTCTCAACTTCGCCATTCTCTTGAACACGGATGCTAACAAACACAAGCTCCTGCACCTACCGGTGGCCGTACACCTGCTTGGAAGTCAAGTGGCCCAGATTACGGCGGATCTCGTACCCCAGCCTGGGCCGATGGCTCTCGAACTGCCTACGGAGATGGCAACCGCACCGCGTACGGCGGAGGTTCAAGAACCCCTGCGTGGCAATCAGGCGCAAAGACACCGGCACATGACGCCTTTGGCCTTGGTTCGAAGACGCCGGCGTACGGAGGCGGAGATGCCTGGGGCTCTGGATCCAAGACACCTGCTTATGGCTCTGCGCCTACACCCGGTGCCAGTGGGGGCGACTCATGGGGCTACACGCCCGGCAACTCTTACGACGCACCGACGCCCGGTGGCGCTCTTCTGAGTGCACCAACACCCGGAGCTCTCAACGCCCCTACTCCTGGTGCCTACTCGGCGCCTACGCCAGGTGCTGCAAGTGCCCCAACTCCAGGTGGCGGATGGCAAGGTGGATGGGGAGCAGACTCGGCGCCCACACCGGCTGCTGGTGCTCCTACTCCGGCCGCCAGCGGCTTCAACTCCTCATCAGCCTATTACGGCGCGCCGACTCCTGCGGCTTATGGCGCACCCGAGACTCCAGCAGCCAGCGGACCCAGATACACCGACGATGACTAGATGCCAAGGGTGTTGATCTGAGAGGAGACCGTCGGAGCCTTCTAGCTGGCTTGTGTATTTGGCGATGGGAGGCAAGGCAAGGTTGTACATTACCCGGCGTTTGTGTAGAAAAGGAAGATGCGCCCAAAGTCGTGCGCGTTCATAACAGAAAACATACCATCTTTCACTTACCCGAGTTTGAATCTAGGTAAAATCATATCCTGGAAACGGCGTAATTCATTGCTTCTAAATCTTTGTTTTCCATATCAATAAGCAGTATACTTTCAGTCGTGTGTAACTGGGGATGTAGTGTTGCCCATTGATCCTAGTGAATGCCCATGATGTTGTTCCCTTTCCGAATATTTGCAGCTTGCTCTTCTACCCTTCTCACCCAGTCCACTAGACTTTACATTACTGGTGCACAGAACTTTGCTGCTTCAGATCCACCACCACCGCAGGTCAGGTACCTATTTTACTCGTAAGACGTGTCCTCGACTGGCCATCATAGATTTGCTCTAGACAGCTCTCATCACTAGTTGCAGTATTAAGTCACAGCTCACTGCTAGTTCGTTACTTTGCGATTCACAGTTGTTTGAGGTATACGAAGGGACGTGGAGATCTTTGCAATATCACCTCAATTTGGGTTATAGACTACG